TGCTGAGAACCTCAGTCTCCTTAACTGGAAAATGGGCTCATACTGCCTACCTCACAGGGTTGTTGCAAGGAGTAGATGCAATCACAAAATCATGTGCGTGATTTGCAGAGCAGAGCTTAATTGCTAGTCTTTGCTACATTTGTTGTTGATAATTGTTACCGAAGAAGTTAACAAAGAACTCTGTTTTCAGTTTTAGGTTGGTGTTGTGGAGGGAGCCCTACACTTGCCATAGAGGCTGGGGTTCAAGGCTCGGTGTTGCCCTTTACTGTGTGTGCCTGGGGCGAATTTCCCCATCCCCCTGAAGTATAAGATGGTGATAGGTTTACAAACTTGATTGAGTTTCATTTGGAAGAGATTAAGGCATGTGTGCAAGTGCCAGACACACAGACGGATCCTACTCCTTATTACTATTTTTTTTCTTAGATTAGAAAATGGAATGTTTTCCATTTTGCAGTTATTTTATTTGTTGAGGAGAAGGGGAACTGGATACAGTTTGGAGCCCAGGACACAGCAGAGTACTTGTGACTGAGGAACAAAGGGCACCGAGGGGAAGACAAGGGATCTGAGTTGCAGAAAATTCTGTGGCAGGGTTTTTAAAACTCTCAGGGTCAAGTTTCAGGGAAGCTGCCCAAGGGCTTGAACTTACTTCCCTGCTTTCACGGTCCAGGTGTGGAAACAATCACAAAAGAGATCACTGAAAACTATAGTAATGGGAAACATGGTGAACCTGAAATATTTAATTAGGATCTATTTCTTAGAAAAACATGAACTGGGAGGTGTGCGTGACCAGTGCTGGGAGGTATGGTGCCCTGGTCCCCATGGGTTTGACTGTCCCTGACTGATGCCTTGGTTAACGTGGTCTAGAAATGGGTGGTTTGTCAGAGAGAGGCAGCCTGGCATTGGGGAAGAGTCAGGCTCCTGAGGTGGGCGGCTTGAGTTGGGAGGTAGCCAATCTTAGACAAAGGAGGCATGGTCCTTGGCAGATAGGCATTTAATAAATGGAGGAGAATCAGGCAGTAGAGCACCCTGAGAATGGTTGGGGACTTTGGGGCCAGAGGGAATAGGATGGCTGTCAACTCTATTCCTTACTAGTTATATGACCTACAGGAGCAAGCTACTTTACCTGTCTGGGACTCAATTTTCCTCATCAGTAAAATGGGGATGATATTTTTCTGAATTATCTTTAGGAGTTGAGGTCAGGATTAAAAGTGATATGGCAATAGAAGCAAGCTGTTGAACAGAGCATTGGAGACACAGTAAACATAGTACCTTTTATTATTCCCAAAGATAGGTTTTAAAGGGATGCACAGAGTCACAAAGACTCGAGTTCCTGCTTTGTGCCAGGCACCGGGTTGGCACGGGGCTAGCTGTGATCCCAGCAACAATGGAGTTAATAGTAAAGCTCCACTCCTCATATGAGGTAGGGGCTTTCCTGAAGGGTGGCCTCTTTCCTGTTTAGTGAAGACGTGGATCCAAAACTGGGGTAAGCACTGGGTCAGCTGCAGAGTAGAAATCTGCCTTTAGATTTTACTGGAAATAAATCGGATGTCTGGGTGGTGGGTGATAAGGTGTTGCGCTCCCTGCCAAGGAAGATAGAGTCAGAAGTGAGGAACCCAGGGGTGCCTGGGTGGCTCAGTTGGTTAAGCGACTGCCTTCGGCTCAGGTCATGATCCTGGAGTCCCTGGATCGAGTCCCGCATCGGGCTCCCTGCTCAGCAGGGAGTCTGCCTCTCTCTCTGACCCTCCCCACTCTCATGCTCTCTATCTCATTCTCTCTCTCAAATAAATAAATAAAATCTTTAAAAAAAAAAAAAAAAAAAGAAGTGAGGAACCCAGGCTTGAGGAGCTGGGCCAGCCCCCTAGGGGAATCTGTCTTGTCACTGGGGCTAAGCAGGAGTGGGAGAGGCCTGGGTGATGGCTGGTCAGTTTGAGTAAGCCAGAACGTTTGTAGAGACTCTTCACTTCCTACTTACTTCTTTGTTTCTCTTAAAATAGTCCTGGAGAGTTCTAGCCAAGGGCAGAGGATTATTGGCATGCTAGGATCAGTGTTAGGAGCAGCACCTCTGGGCCTTAACGCTGGAGACAGTGAGATGCTAGAAGAGGGAATACCAGTGAAGAAGATGTGAGTGTGGGAGGCTGAGCAGCTGCTTGGTCAGTCTTCCTCCTATTTGCACGTAAAGAATGTTGAGGAAGCTCTGAGCCAGTGCACTGTCCTATTGGGTCCTTTAAGGTAGCCTCAGCTCTTAGCAGGGTGCCTGGTGCCTGGCACAATCTGCGTTTCTTTGAATGTCAATCATGGATTTGCGAGATGCATTGTTATTTCATATACCACTAAGAATAAGAAAGACAGTGTTACCAATTAATTGTAAGATGCCATTGATTGTGGGATTCACTGATTTCAGAGGCAAAATGTGAAAAAAATGAGTGTCCTAGAATTAATAAAATGTGGTTGTAGGCATCCAATAAATATTTGTTAATTGGATGAATGAAGCATACAGAGATTAGAATCAAAGCAAAACACTAGTACCCATAAGTACAAAATTAGGAATTCAAACTATTAAAGCATGAACCTTTTCATCCTTGTTTTCTATTGATTTCACCAAGCTAGTTGTTCATTCAGTACACATTTATTGAAAATTGATTCTATCTCAGACACTGGTAGGAGCTAGGGATGCAGAAATCACTAAGTTCCTTTGTTTTTCAGGTTCAGGCCAGTAAGGGAGTCAGACCTGGAACCAAAAATAAATCACATTTCAGAATGGTTAGGATTTAAAAGAAAGTAGGGGGTTGCCTGAGTGGCTCAGTTGGTTAAGCGACTGCCTTTGGCTCAGGTCATGATCCTGGAGTCCCGGGATTGAGTCCTACATCAGGCTCCCTGCTCGGCAGGGAGTCTGCTTCTCCCTCTGACCCTCCCCCCTCTCAAGCTCCGTCTCTGTCATTCTCTCATTCTCTCTCTCAAATAAAGAAATAAAAATCTTTAAAAAAATAAAAGTAAAAGAAAGTAGGGATGCGGTACTCTCCTGGCACCAAGGGACGGAGAAAGACAAGGAAGTCTTTCCTGGAAGGGAGATGGTTGAATTGGAACTGAAAATGTAAGTCCGTGGGCACCAGGCACACAAGAGAGGAAGGGGTTAGGAAGGGAAGGGCAAGTACAAAGCAGTGGGGCAGATGCACGTGAGAACCTGCGAGGAGTCTCAGGACGTCTGGAATTTCGTGTAAGAACGGGCAGGATTGTGTTTGACGACGAGGATGACCGCAAACAGAGGGAAGCTCCTGGTGGGCCTGGGATGCCATGCCCGGGGCATCAGGCTGTATTGTAGCCATCCTGAGTCTCGAGAAAGGACCCAGCAGGGGGATGGCTCTGGGGAGGCGGGGAGGGCGGGGCTGGACCCATCCTTGTTTCACACGGAGCAGCTCTACTTTGACTTGTTTTATTTAAATTTTCTGTGAGTCATGGCTTGAAGAAAACGAAGGAATGCGTAGTTTGACAACTGGTGCTGTGGGTCCTGTGTAGCTCCTGAAACCTTGGAAGCGAGGGAGGCAGGATGATTGTATAAAGTGCAGAGGCTGGAGCCCAGCTGAAGGTAGCACACGTGCTCACCGTGGCCTCCCTGCTTCCCTCTCCACCTGCCTGGGAGCCTGCAAGCCAAAGGGAGCAAACCCCGTTGGGGAATCATTGTGAATAAGTCAGAAGCAATCACTTTTAATGAAGCTGTTTTTGACTGGGATAAATATCCAGGAAGCAGTAACTGAACATCTGTGGGCTGGCTTCATTTTAGAATCCCCAGGTGTGACTTTGCCAAGGAAACATTACCTTTTTTGCAGTGGAAGGGCTCAGACTGCTTTCTCGGTGGAAATGAGACTCGGGGTGCTAAGACTGCCCCGAGCTCACCTGGGGAGTTGTAGCCTGTTCACCGGTGTGCTTGTCTTGGGGGCTTGTTCTTACTCAGTGAAAGGCTGATCTGGGAAATGAAAGCCTCTGTGAGATTTCTGTGTCATGTGGGCTAATCTGACCAGAGGGACTTAGAGCGGCAGTGAAGGCCAAGGAATTCCTGAGTGTTCTGTGGTCCGATTTCCTTGTAACTCACAAGGGGTCTGTAAAGAAAACAGATTGTCTAACGAATTCCTGATCCTGTCTCCCGCGAGGCTCCTTCCCCATTCCCAGTCACTTCATGACTCGGCTGCAGTATATTTTCCTCTTCTCCAAAACGACCCCGAAAGCTGTTAAGAACGAACTGGAAGGGCCTGGGATTGGCAGTGCACGGAGGGGAGACCGTGGGTCCAGGCTGCTCGTGAGTGATGCCGCCACGTCTCTTCACTTCTTCGAGACCTGTTTCCCCGTCAGTACAATGTGCATCATGTACACTTAACTCTTATGTACGTGGACCTAGCTGTAAGAGAAAAGTCGTGTATCTCTTGGAGTCTCCCCCTGATTACCTGTAAAGTAGAGATTTAAGTATACTCTCCTTCTAGAGTCCCAGTGAAGAATAGAGGGGGTGCATGTACTTTTCACCATGTTTGGCATGTAATAGGTACTTAGTAGATCTTTTGGAATGAACGGTTGACAGGGTAGGTAAGGTAGATGAGTACTTTGTAATACTGTGGCCACTGTCCTCCTGATTCATACTCAATGAGAATAAATACGTGTCTGTTACCTCTAGATTGGCTGGATTCCACAGCCCCATATTTACCTGAATAGCACTTTTCACCCAGTATCACGACTTGGCTTCAATTATTATGCAACTCGCAACTGCTGAACATCTGACTTCCTTCTAAGAATGGAAACTCCATGTCTGAGGCCTTCCCTGTCTTGTTTACCCACCACCTAGCTCAGTGTGCCCATTAGCATACTGTTAGCACTCAGCCTTTCTGTTGGGTAGAATAAGTAAATGGCCACCAGTTGGTCAGCTGCACCCCTTCTATTTCCACTTGAAGGTGTTTTGTGCCTGATTTTGCGGACCCACTTGGTCTTCATGTGGTTTTTGTCCTTGGTTACTGCAGGTGGAGGGACCACAATGCCTGGCAGAGATCAGGAACCAGGGAGCTACTACGTGGGTGTGGACGTTGGGACAGGCAGTGTGCGTGCGGCTCTGGTGGACCAGAGGGGCATCCTTTTGGCTTTCGCAGACCAGCCGATCAACCAGTGGGAGCCTCAGTTCAACCACCACGAGCAGTCCTCCGAGGACATCTGGGCCGCATGCTGTGTTGTCACAAAGGTATGGCCACAACTGTGGCATTCTATCCTTGCGTGTGCCCCCCGGCCCCCAGCTGCTGAGCATGTCTATTGTGCACTCCTGGTACCAGGGGCAATGTTGGGATGCTTTAGCTATAGGCCTTGCCTTTTGGGAGCTCACAGTCCAGTGACAGAGACCAGTAGACGGCTAAACTATGACTTGGTAGGTGCTGGGGGCTCAGTGGCTGTGGCTGGAGCTGAGGAAAGAGTAACTTGGAGGGGCTCAGGTGCACAGGACCCAGGATGTGGAACCTGAAGAGGTTCTGGTCCCATGTGACTGAATGTGGAAGAGGTCACTGATAATCACAGCTAACACCTGTGCATTCTTGCATGCCCAGTGCTATGTAGACTGTGTTAGCATGCATTGTGTATGGGAATCCTCGCAAGGACCCTAGGAAGGTGGTCCTGTTACAACCCCTATTGTATTGAGGAGGAAACAGGTGCAGAAAGGTTAGGTGACTTACCCAAGTTCATGCAGTTAGTAAGCAGCAGAGGCAGGAGTGACTCCCAACGCTGCACCCTGAGTCGCTGGACTGTCCTGCCTTCCAGGTGGACAAGTGGGAGGAGCCTCATTTTGTTCAGAGGCAACAGCATGTGCCAACACATGAGGGGCGAGTGCCCATTAGCATACTATTAGCACTCAGCCTTTCTGTTGGGTAGAATAAGTAAATGGCCACCAGTTGGTCAGTTGCACCCCTTTTATTTCCACTTGAAGGTGTTTTATGCCTGATTTTGCAGACCCACTTGGTCTTCATGTGGTTTTTGGCTAGGTGGTGGGTAAACAAGACAGGTGGCATGTTTGGAGAAAGCAGGGACATTGAGTTGTGCCAGACAGATGTTGATGTGTAGTGGCCTTGGATTGCAGTCCACCCGCTGGCTCGGGGAAGGAGGAGATGCTCATTTGTCTCATTTGACTGTTTGGTTTTAGAACCTGGTGATCCAGAGGGACAGAGATACTTTGGTCTTTTTTTCCTTTCGGAGGGAAAAATAAAGTCCTGGTTTCTCTTTTCTCTCTGTTCCTAGTTTTGTTCCTTAAATATTCATGAAGGGCTTGGTAATTTGCAGATGGACAATTCACCATTCTGTGTGTATTGATCAGTCTGTTTAAACTTTAATGAGCTCTGGGCTACTGTCAGTACCCCCAGGGAAGAAGGCAGAGAGAGGAGGTGGGTGTGGGCAGCGCCGGAGCTTTCGATAGGAATAAAAGTGGGGGCACATCTCTTCTGCCTGTTTAATTTTCCTCCTCCCTCCCCACTCTCGGCCCCTGCCTTGGTGAGAATCTTCTACTCTTTGCCCTTGGGTCTCCTTTGTTCTTTGAACATATAGCCTTTCTTGCCATTAAGGAAATTGTCAAGAAGAAAATACAATCCCCTGATGAAAAGCTACTTTAAAAAAGGTCTGCTCTAAGTACAGCTTGGTTTAATGGTAGATTTTTAATCATCTCCTGGTGGCGGCCAGCTTGTCATCCGTGTGAGCCCCATGAGCCCCATGAGTGCCATGGGCATTTGTCCTAAGCGAGGCTGTCTCGTTGAGGCTGTTGGGGTAAAGCTGCTGGGTCTTAGGCTGTCCCCTCACATGGAGTATGGCCGTGTGGCCATGGGCCAGCAGGCATAGCATAGGCCTGACACATCTATTCGCAGCTCATTGCTCGTGTGAGGTTTAGAGAAGGAAGGAAGGTGCCTTTCCCTGACCGTCTGGTCCTGCAAAAAGTGTGTGCCCCCTGAGCAGGGGTCATGTTTTGTTTATCTATAGTTCCCTAGATTTCCTTGCCTCTGATATGCCCAATTCATGTTTGTTGAGTACATGAATGGATGAAATGTCTGTTATTTTCATTATCTGGAATGTACTCTTACCTTCTTCACCCGCCCAACTCCTGCGCAGGTCCTTCTAATTTTCAGCATTACTTGCTCCTGGGAGCCTTCTTTGATGACCTCTGACCCCTCCCTGCCCTTGCCAACTTGAGAGGAAAGAGAGGGTGAGAAAGCCCTCTCTGCCGCCCCAGAGCCCACTGTCTTCACCTGTCCTCGCCACATAGCACTTGATCTGGTCATTATCGGATTGGATTGTAATTGGTGACTTGCGTGGTTTCCTCAAAACCACGAGCTAAACTCTTGAAGAGAATCACCCCTGTACTCCCAGCATCTAACACGTTGCCTGGCATAGCGTTGATTAATGTTACTTAGAGCTAAAAATGAACAAATAAAATTCTGGCATCCCTCATCTTGCTTAAGTGTCACATAACTGTGTGAGATAGACTGCCATTCTTTCTGTTTGACACATGAGAATATTGAGGCTCTGAAACTAACAGGTATTAGAGACAGGACAAGACCCCTAGCAAGATGGCTCCAAATCCTATTTTCCATTCCACTACTCCCACTGCCCCTAAAATTGGAGGGTCTTTAGTGGGTTGGTACTCACACATCTAAAAAGTGCTATGGGAACACCTAAGTCTTGGAGGTAGACATTGTCCCTGATTTTAAGGACTTCTATCTCTTTTTGGACCCACAATCTTAATCATCCCAAGAAGATGAAAACATTGCAAGTTCGTGTCTAGCAAATACCAGCTTCCATTAGGAAAAAGGAAGAAGATAAGCCAGAAGTGTCATTCAGCCAACAGGCATTTGTCGAGTATCATCTAGTTCTCACACAATTTTCTGAGCACTTACTATGTGCTATGGTTTTTGCTAAACCCTGGAGTGTGTACAGAAGAGGTATATAACAAATTCTCTGCCCCTAAGGATGAAATAGTTAAGTTGCATGGAAAAACCCAGCACCTATGAGGCCAACGAAGTAGTGTTTTGTTCTAAGTTGTACTAGCTGTATGAGTAATGGTTGGAGGGAGGAGGAGCAGAGAGGGAGTAACACATGTGGGATTGAGCAATAATGTTAACCTCTTACAGTCGTAGAACCTGTGTGGTTTACAAAGCACGTTCATAGCCATTTGATTGTCATACAAGGTAGGTAGGGCAGGGTGGTGGTTCCCATTTTACAGTTGAAAAGAAAAATGGAGACCCAGAGAGTTAAATGACTTTCCCTAAGTCACCCAGGAGGTCGGCGATAAGCCTAAACTCAGGTCAGATCTTTGCCTTCTTTCCATGTCTAGCACCACATACCTTTGTTGCTTGTCTGGATTCATGCAAGAACCTAACTGATGTCACGTATGCACTTCCCCTTTCCAATCCCTTCTCCTTTTTGCAGCTACAATGATTTTTTTTTTTAAAGATTTTTTAAATTTATTCATTTGAGACAGAGAGATGCAGAGAGAGAGGGAGCATGAGCAGGGGGAGTTGCAGGGGGAGAGGGAGAAGCAGGCTCTCCGTGGAGCAGGGAGCCAGATGTGGGACTCAATCCCAGGACCCTGGGATCATGACCAGAGCCGAAGGCAGAGGCTTAACCTTCTGAGCCACCCAGGTGCCCAGATTTTTTTTTTTTAATGTAACCTGATCCTGTCACTCTTATGCTCACTATCCATCCATAGCATCACACTACTATTTGGATAGAACTCAGGATCCTTAATGTGGTCTTCAGGCCCTGCCTGGTTTGGGTTCCACCTACTTTCCTGGCTTATCTCATGATTCTCGTCTCAGCTGCCTGTGTTCCAGCCACACTCTCCTTCTGTCCTGTCCCCAAGCATGCAGTGAATGCTCCTTCTAGTCTCAGGATCTTTACACACATTATTTCTCCTTCCTACAGACTCTTCCCGCCTTCTGTCAATGTATCTAACTCCTCTTCATCCTTGGATTTACACCATCTAATACACTAGTCACTAGGCATGTGTGGCTATTTAAATTTAAGTAATTAAAATAAAAAACAATTTAAAGTTTGGTTCCTCGGATGCACTGGCCACATTTCAGATGCTTGGGAGGCATGCACGGCTGGTGGCTACTGTATGGGGCAGCACAGATACAGAACATTTCCATCACTGCAGGAAGTTCCACTGGAGAGTGCTGCACTGAATCTTAGCTCAAAAGTCCAATCCTTGAAGGAGGAAGCCTTTTCTCACCCAGTATCACCTCCAAACTAAGTTCTATTTTACTTACTTACCATAGAACTTCACATGGTTTGTGAATCATCCATTTTTTGATGAATAATAAAATAATAGTCATTTTATAATCAAATAATAAAAATAAATAATCTTTGATTTTTTGAGTTGATCTCTATCTTCTCCTAGATTTGATGTTTCAGGGGGGTAGGAACTACAGTTTGTTCACCCATATCCTAACATCTGGTAGACTCAGGAAGCGTCAGAAGAATGAATGAGTAAAGGAATTGAGATCTCTATACTCCCAATCAATGGAGAAGGCTTGAGGAAGGGTGTATGGCTAACCGGGACTCTGGAGAACTCTAAGAGACGACATTCAGAGCTGGAGCAATGGCATGGACAGAAGTGCTGACATGGGGATGTGAAGGAGCCAGCCAGGGTTGGGGCAGATGGGTTCCAACTGGAGGAAGAGGGGAGACTGCATTGCATGAGGGGGCAAACCTGGGACAGCTGGTTCTGAGGCCAATAGGGTATCTTCTAGAATCATCCTGAGTTTCAGATTGACTAGCAGCTGATTCAGGATGGCTTGCAAGGAACAGAAACTAAATTCAAGGATGCCAGTTAGGAGGCAGTTTCTTCTAATGAAGTTCTGGAGGCTGAGATTCCTTTGAACTATCAGCCCTGGGAGGCTAGGACTACGTCTGTCTTATTCAGCATGTGTACTCCTTGCTGGCACATACAGGTGCTTAATAATTTCTTTTTTCTTTTTTAAGATTTATTTATTTATTAGAGAGAGAGAGAGCGAGCGCACAGCAGGGGGAGGGGCAGCAGGAGAGGGAGAGAATCTTAAGCAGACTCCCCGCTTAGCACATGGAGCCCAAATGTGGGGCTCGATCTCACGACCCTGACATCATGACCTGAGCCAAAATCAAGAGTTGGACACAACCTACTGAGCCACCTGGGCACCTCAGTGATTTCTCTTTAATCATGAATGGCTGGGT